CAGATGAAAGGGACAAAATCGCCTTGAGGTCAACGTGCAGAAGAGCAGTGGCGCCAAACTCGATGGCCTAGACACACAACAATGAGAAGTTGATAGCACGGATAAGAGACAGAAACAATACCATCTCGATGAATCCCGCCGCGGGCATGATTGGCTCTCCTCTGATGACATGCTCTGCAAGGACCGGATGCGTATCCTTGTTGATTCTGAGATACCGGTGGTTCAGTGGTCCAAGATGGGGTTCCATCTGTTTCGCATATCCAGGCGTGTCCGGATAGAGTGCGTAGCTCTTCTTCGAGAATGGATAGGCGGGAAGGGAGACGTCGCATTCGTAGCAGGCTCGATTGTTGAGTGCGGTAAAATTGACCCCATTGAACCCAGAGGCGGTCAGCTCACCGCACACCCTCAATAGATCGACGTGATCCACAGACGGCATGTTTGGCTTCACGCGATGCATCGTTGATATGACCGGGCTACCGTCGCCGGCCATGGATGAGATGTAGGACACCAGGACAGGATGTGGTGAAATCTCTACAAATGTGCACGACTGCGACGCGGTAAGCCTTTCCATCGCTTGCGTGAACCGTACGGGCGATCGCGTATTCCTCCAGAAGTAGTCGGCGTCGATCGAGTCGGACAACCTCTCTCCTGTCAATGTCGAGTACGTCGGGATCTGTGGGACGTGCTGGCCAGGGTACCGCTCAAACAGTGCTCGGAGCTCTCTGCAGTAGTCTTCTCGACACCGCTCCATCATGGACGAGTGCATGGGCACGCTCGTGCGGATCTTGCGACCGAACACACCTCGAGTCTGACAGAGCTCCAGCGCCCGTGTGATTGCGATGTCGTGGCCCGCGATGGCGATGGCAGAGGGTGAATTGAAACAGGCGATTTCGAGGATGTTGTCCGGGAGTTCTGAGCGTACGCTGGCAATGATTTCCTCTGCGTCTTCCTTCCCGCATGATATGGCCGCCATACCACCACCGAGGGCTTCGAGAGGCGCGAAAGCACGTCCGCGAATGACGGCCAGCTCGAAGGCCATCTCCTTCGGAGCGGCACCGGACGCGTAAAGCATGGCAGTTTCTCCTGCAGAATGGCCGATAATGATGTCAGGCTTCATGCCGAAGCTCGTCAAGAGATCGAAGAGCGCTATTTGGAACATCGCAATGGAAGGCAAGATGAGAGATATTGGCCATACGTCCTTGAGCTTTCCTGGAGATCCACAGCCATCGAAAAGACCATAGTCACGAAGCATCGAACTGCCTGTCAACGTCTCATAGATCCTGTCCATCTCTAGAACACTATGACGGAAGACGGTGAATCGTTCGAACAACTCTCTTCCCACTGAAGAAACATTAGGGACGAGTGTATGCGAGGGAGCTGAGGGACGTACTGCGCTCGTGCTGAGGCCCTTGTCCTGAGAATACAAACACCACGGGACGTGCCTCGCGGGGGCAGAGCTGAGGGGAGGAGAATTGAAGTTTCCCCAAAGACGCCGAATCGGCAATCGCGAAGGAGCGCCAAGTCATGGAACGAGATCGACGCCCGAGGATCGTGGACAAGACTGGCACTTCGCAGGCACTTCTAGTTGCCATGTTGGTGATCGATTCCGAAAATGCGACCGTGCTACGAGAAGATAGCCCCGCAGATACTAGGAGACTTGGCTGTGCAGCCATGATCTCCGCACGAGAATCTAAGGACCCGCGAGTCGGTGGTCCTTCTAGGACGGCGTGCCCGTTCGATCCACCGATCCCAGAGCTAGACATAGCAATCAACGGGCCACGCGCGGAGTGACATGGAAGAGGAGTTGGAGATCGTGGCACGCGTAATTGATACTTGAGCCACTGTATTGCGGGATTCAGCTCCTTTACGTTGACATTGGGAGGGATTTGGCGTGACCGGAAAATGGATATAACTTTCGAAAGTGATGCCAGGAAGGCGGCGATCTCAGTATGTCTTAAAAACTGAACGTCAATCGCTGGTCGTGACTCCGAATAGCAGAGCGCATTACCCAATGTTTCCTTTGACGCTCCCTATCAGCACTTCATCTTCACGACTAAATTCCTCTCCGACCCAATTAACTTCGGTAGGGTCGCCCTTCGCAGTACCTATATATCCATAGATTCAACTAATACAGGTATAAAGGCTCGACAAGGAAACTGACCTGTAGCATGAAGTTCGATAAAATCCACTTCTCGTGGGTTGCGTTCTGCAAGCTTGAAAGCTCGTCGCATTGCATCACGCTGAGCTTCAGCCACTGGTGCACCAGGAGGAGCTCCACCGCCAGAGGAGTTTATTGCCGTGGCTAAAATCTACATATCGTGGTCAGAATACATACCGCATTGAGGAAGACGGTATTGAATGCATACCGTCGCATAGATCTGATCTGCATCCTGGATCGCCTGCTGAAGAGGCTTAACCACAATCGCCACGCATGCTTCCGCCCTTCCAAATCTGGGCAAGAAGCTAATGAGAGTGCTGACATACTCAGGATAGTATTCATTACCCGTCAG